GGGGGGCGAGGATGGAAGGGTGGGTTAAATGTGATAAGTTAAATTCAAATCCAATAATTTTAATAGTTTTGAGGGACAGATGTGACAGATCAAAAAGTTGAGTACCAGTAAAAATAATAGAATGACTTCTTTGTTTTAGGTATTTTATTTTTGTTTATCTTTTTATGTTGTTATATTTTTGTTCGTAAGAAAACGTTTTTCTTTTCCTCGTAGATTAGACAATTAGAACAAGAAAATGAAAATATTCGGATAAGAAATCTTAAACGGCTTACAAGACATGAAGACGATGGGCTACAAGATATGCATCTTGCTAATGGTGAAAATAATGATAATAGAAAGGTTGGTGTGTAATAAGATTCCAGTACAACCTTAGATTCTGTTCCCTCTGAGCCAATGAATAATACTAATTCTGTTTTAAAAAATTATTCTTTGGAAACACAGATCACTTTCTGCATCTATTTTGTTTATTTTGTCATCCTTCCATCCATATTTCTACACACCTAATTGTCTGCACACACATCCATTTCTGTCTGCCACCTAGCCTTCCATTCAACAATCTATTCCATTCTATCCATCTTTTCATGCATCCAACCATCCATTCTATCGAACCATCCATTCATTTAGTACTATTCCATCATCTATCCCATCCATCCATTATCCATCCATCCCATCTCATCCCATCCCATCCATCTATCCATGCATCCAACCATCCATTTATCTATCTATCTATTTATCCAACCATCCACCCATCCATCCATCCATCCATCCATCCATCCATCCATCCATCCATCCATCCATCCATCCATATTGTTTATTCATTGGAATACTGTTTTGTGTGTACAGCAGATGTCTAATGGTCCCATGGACCCAACACTATCAGCAGGATGTCTCCATGATGAACAAATAGATGAGCTTCAATTTCTTCTCACCAAACGAGGGAAAGACATTGATCGGGTATGTACTACTGTCACTTTCATAATTCGGAACCTAAAGCCGACGACACACTAGGCTATTTTATAGTCGCTTGTTGGAGAAAATTTTTGATTGTTGCCTGAAAAATCATCATGTGTGTCTGCTGCTGTGACGGCAAATTTCCAGAACGATCTTGATGAGTGCGACCAGCTATCTAAATCACCGATATCTGGCATGTCAGAAGTTGCCCAACACATTTGCCGGTGATTGGTGATGTTCGCTCCAACAAGCATATAAAATTGCCTAGTGTGTCGTCGGCTTAAGAATTGACAAGCATTAAGAACGAGGACACTGGGAGCATAAATGATGAAGATGCCAACCATTACTCCTAATGAATTATTTATAATGATATATATTGCGCCCTTTCTATATGGATATAATCAAAGGCGCTTTACATTGAGTTGTGAATAACAGATTGCTTTTTATGCAATTTACAAGCATGAGAGGTGGTTAGTATGAAGTGTAGGCACTGAGGGTGGTCACTGCCAGGGTTTCTTTACGTCCTCAGTGGTTCTTTTATGTCCTTAAGGGAGTCTGTCTGGAGTTGCCTTTGTTGATGAATGTTGATTTTTACGTCGGCCTATTAAATGACCAATGCAGCCCAATACAGTACGTCTGGGATCTTTGGTTTTATCAATTGAAACACCAGCCCAGACCCTTGGAAATTTTATTTTTTACCATAACTTGGAAATTTCTCGCACACTAATTGGCTTATAGCCATTGTCTATTAGAGGCTAGACCTGCTTGTGCTTACGACATCTGTCATGCTCGCACTTAGCAAGCGGATGAAACAGCTTTTTCAAACTAATTACTGCAATGTCTTTTTGTTCAATTTGCTGCGCTCGTGGTTCCGCTTGAGTTTGTATCATTTTTGATGTCATTTCATGTTCAATTACAGTACAGACCCATAGAAAACTGACTTCGATTTGTTAATGAGTTGATACGTGATGCTTTGAGGTCAATAATTGTGAGCCAAGTTAAGAGGATTAATCTAATTCCATTAAAAATTAATTGACTTTACTCAACTAGAGGCATTTCCTTCTGGATCACAATGAAATTTAATAAGAAGCGACAAAATTAATCAATGGTCGGCGGACAATTTACTTTTCCTGAATTCCCTTGAGTGACCACGAAACAATAGCTCCAAGTTGGACATGATGAAATACAGTAATATCCTAGGAATATTGTTTTGTTGTTGTCACTCAAGTGAGGATTTCTCACCCTTGAAGGGGTAGGGAATATTATTTCGTGGTCAATTAAGTGAGAATCTTCTAGGAGGTAAAGCCATATGCCCCGTGTCTCCATGATAAGTGAGACCTACCTTGACTTGGGACCATTGTTTCGTAGTCACTCAAGTCAGAATCTTCTAGGACTTAAAGCCATAGGCCCAGTCTGTCTTCATGATAATAAGACTAACCTTGTCATGAAGCCATTGTTTTGGGGTCACTCAGACAATTCCAGGAGGTCATTCCCAACCATCATTTGATTATATTTTGAATAGCACTTTCAAAATTTCTAAACATAAAAGTTAAACTTCTCTCAAAAATTCCTAAGTTTTATTTTTTTGTGTTTTCATTTTTTTAATTCATTTTTTTCATCTCTAAGTTTAATTTCCATCTAATTTTTATTTACTTTTTAAATTTTGAGTAGTGGTAAACTACTTAATTTTTTTTCCAAATTTTCTGAAAATTTATGGAAAATGAGGTGTAGAAAATTCTTGACATTCTTTTTTTTTTTTTGTTTTTCTTTTTTTTTTTT